TGCATACATCTTCGGAATACAGCAGAATATGTTTGGGAATCTTGAAGAATCGTGGCTACTTCCACGGGGTCGTAAGGATCCATTCTTGACCCACGGAATATGAAGATGTTACGTTTTCCCGCTTTCGCTATCAGGGCTCCGATATTGGGCTTCGACAAGCTATACGACACGATCGCAGTGTGTGTGTGTGAGCGGCATGAAATAACGTGTAACCTTGCCCTACTAATAGTAGCACTGCGACTACTATTACTACTGCTACTCGCACGACTGCCAGGACTATGAGTGGTACTGCGACCTTTCGCACTTGTTCAGCACCTTTACCATCGACTATGATTCCACCACGGTTACGACCTGTGCTACTGCCAACGTTCATACTATGCAAAGTTGTCTCTGACATTTACATTCCCACATATGCTGCTACTACTGCGATCAGTGCTGCCGCGGCCTCTGCTACGAGGCGACCAGCATCTAGTCCTGTTGCGTGTAGCAGTTGTGTCAAGTGGCCTGGGTGCCCCACGACCACAGACTCTTCAGGGGAGAAGGAAGTTTTCCGCCGCCTTGCGTGCCTGCTCGACAAAAGCAGAGGCCCGGCCGGTGGGCGGGGCTGACGGCGATTCACGCGGAGGAGGGTTTCGGCGGGCCCACCCAGCCTTCGCTTGGTGGCCGCCGGAGTGTTGGGGCGCCCAGGCAGGACAGGTCATAGCTGGGCCCCCTCGATGTCGATGATGTGCCTTTTCAGGGATGCGCTGCCTCATTGCAATGTCGGCCCAAGCTCGGCCAAGTTCGGTTGCCAATCGCTGCAATCTGGACGCAGAAAAACGTTGCATCCTTTCCCTCGCATCCCGATGACTGACGCCAGCTGAAGCAGCAGTACGCGGCGGCGACTCGCCATCGAACGATCTCCGGTCAGCGCTGGCGTGAAAGGGAGCGCGATCGATTGGGCAGTGGCACGAACAGCATGCGCATGCGTGACCGCACGGCAAAACCAGTCGCCGGGGAGGAGTCTGGGAGGAGCAGCAGGAAGAGGAGGAAGAGGAGCAGGAGGAGGGGGGGGAGGAGGAGGAGGAGGAGGAGGAGGAGGAGGAGGAGGAGGAGGAGGAGGCGGAGGCGGATAGGAGGAGGAAACGAGGAGGAGGAAAAGGAGGAGGGGAGGGAGGGTGGAGGCGGAGGGAGGGGAGGAGGAGAGAGGAGGAGAGGAGGAGGAGGAGGGGAGGAGGAGGGGAGGAGGAGGAGGAGGAGGAGGAGGGAGGAGGCGGGGGGAGGGGGAGGGAGAGGGGGAGGGGGAGGGGCGAGGGGAGGGGGAGGGGAGGGGGGGAGGAGCAGGAGGAGCAGGAGGAGGAGGGCGGGGCGGCAGTGATGGGGAGGCAGAGAGGGAGGAGCGCGGCGGTGGCGGCGTCGGGCGGGAGGCGCCCCTGGCACGGGACCCCCTCGGGGCCGCGTTTTGGCTCCCTCACGGCAGGCCGCAATGCACGTCGCGCCACCCGTCCTTTCGGCCATGAAGACAGGGGGGGGGGTTCTGAGGTATTCGTTGTTTCCGCCCTTTCCCCCCTGACGGGGGAAGGGAGAGAAGGATGAGGGATGGAGAGGAGGGGAGGCTCCCCTCCTCTCCTTCTCTCATCCCTCCGTTCCCTTTCATCCCTTCTGTCTCCTCCTCCTCCGTCCCCCTCCCTCCCCTCCCTCCCTCCCCTCCCCTCCTCCTCCTCCTCCTCCTGCTCCTAATCCTCCTCCTCCTCCTCTTCCTCCTCACCTCCCCTCCTCCTCAGTCCCCCTCCCTCCCTCCCTCCCCTCCCTCCCTCCCCTGTCCCTCCCCCCGTTCCTTCTGCTGCCTGGTGGAAGGAGGCGGCAAGGTCCTCCGATGGTCCGTCAGAGTCGGCCTGCTGGGGGCCTTTCCAGGCCGCGAGACAAGTTATCTCAAAGCGGTACTCCTTAGATTTCACTCGGGCATTTCCCTCTACAGGAGGAATGTTCAAACATGGGCGAAACATCGTCAGGGAACGATTGTTTTATGATGTTCGACTATGTTTGAGTATATGTGTGACTATGTTTACATATTTGTCTTCCAGAATCCGCCTGTAGGAGCACATCCCCGACCTAGGTGCAGGACTGGCTTCCCTCAGGACTCGTTTCCTTTCCCTCGTGACAGATCCTGTCCTAGGACGCGGCCTCCGACGTCGTGTGCTCTCTCTCCAGTGCCGGCGCTTTTCTCTGCCCGACGTGGGCCTCTGGAGGGGGCTGGCACCGTCGGGCCCCGTCTCGAGCCCTTTCTGGGAGGAGACGGCTGTCCTGGTGGCAGGGAGGGATCGAGAGCTCAGCGGCCGCATTGACAAAGTCAGGACATCGGAGATCTGGGAGGTGCACCTCGGAGGATGAATTTGGGACCGGCACCGCTACCACTGCCTCGTGCTCCCCTTTCTGGGCCTCCTGGGAGGCCCTCGTGGCCACCGCTGGATTCGCCTCGAAATTCTGGTCAGAACGCACCCCAGGAGAGGTCTGGGGAGTAGCGGTATCGGTACCTTTTCCTTTCCCCAGAACCCACCAGTCGTTGAAACTAGCTATTTTTGGAGTCCCAGATTCCAATCAATTTTAAGCGCCTTCCTACTTCAATGGTCGAGAGGTTTCACCTTTTCCGTCCTCCCCTCGGGCCGGACGAAAGGGGGGGATTGGGAAAGGGGGGGTTACGAAATGTGCTGCATGCAGCTGGTTTCGGCCTCACCGAGGGGCCCATTCCTCGATACATAGCCGCCTCCGGCGCCGGGAGGCGCCGGGGAAGTCAGCTACGTGAGCTGATTCTCAAACCCCCCCTTCGCTATCCCCCCCTTTCGCCCGACCCGATCCCCAGGGGGCGGACGGGGCCAAATCTATGTTCAACGCCTTCCTACTTCATGCTTCTACCTACAATGCCGTTTTAATTCATGCGCCGCGTGCGGATCATGTAAACAAATGCAGGGGTTCAGTAACAAGAACAACGATGAGCTCATGCATAGATGTATTCCCAAATCAATCATGGATTAAAAGTCCTATATTTTTAGAAATCGCATGTATCAAAAACTGCCCTGTACCTATTTCTTCCGACCGGTTTGTGCCCTCTCCTCCGCGGCGACGGGGGCCATCCAGTGGGCCCCGAGAGAGGGTCCCGAAGACGTGGGGACCTCCCCGGGGGGCGGACGGGACCAAATCTATTTTCAACGCCTTCCTACTTCATGCTTCTACCTATCTCTTCCGACCGATGGGTGCCCTCTCCTCCGCGGCGACGGGGGCCATGCAGTGGGCCATCCGAGAGGGCCCCGAGAGGGTGTGGGGAGCCCTCGCTCTCTTTCCGCCCTTTTTCCGATGTACAGGGAGCCCCGCCGTGCCCCTTGGAGGACATATGCTCGAGAGGTCTTTTGGGGGTCTCCGAGGGGACCGTCTGTAGGCCCTTGGACGAGGAGGAGGAGGAGGAGGAGGAGGAGGAGGAGGAGGGGGGAGGAGGAGTGAGGGGGAGGAGGGGGAGGAGGGGGAAGAGGGGGAGGAGGGGGAGGAGGCGGAGGAGGAGGAGGAGGAGGAGGAGGAGGAGGAGGAGGAGTAGGAGGAGGAGGAGGAGGAGGCGGAGGAGGCGGAGGAGGAGGAGGAGGAAGAGAAGAGAATGCCCAGAGACGAACCAGAGACCCTCGATCCCCCAAGATTATCCGACGCGGTTCTTATTTCATCGCTTCGCTCTTTCCACCGGCCCAGGGGCGTATCTCTGGCTTCACAGTTGCCCAGGACCTCGCCAGGACCTTGCCAGTCGAGGACTTGCCGGGGACCGGGGCAGCTTTCGCCCGAGGACCCCCGTCTGCAGGGTCTGCCACGCGCGCGCGCGAGCCAGAAATCTTCCAGAGCAGTTGCCGGAGATCTCAGCGCGCCTCTGGCCCGTCGGGCCGGCGGCTGCGATGCGCGGGCCCGGGAGCCCTCAGCCCCTGCCGTGGCGCCTGTCTCCGATCCATCGGCGACGCATCGCCGACCCAAGCTCGACGCGATGCTTCCCTCGCGGGGCCAGTGCCCCCCTATAGTGGGGGAACAAGGAGGGCATTGGTATCGCTGCTCCGTGGACCTCTCCCGGGGGGCTTCCTCTGGCGCAGATGCCGAGGCGAATCCAGCCGTGGCGACGGCGGACGGGTAATTGGCTGCATCGGTATCTTCTCTCCCTCTGACCTGTATCTCCCCCCTTGCCCCTCGCCCCCTCTCTGTCAATTAAAGCTGTGCGCGTCCCGCGGAGTTTTTAGCGGAAGAGGCTCGCTCTCGCCTTGCAGATCAAAAAAAAATAGTATCCCCCCCTTGCAGGTCAAACCCATGCCAAGAAATGCGTTGCTTGCCTCCAGCGTGCCCCGGGTCTCTTGAGTTCCGATGGTGTCGCCAGGGGGAGCGTGACCACACCAAAATTCAATGGACGTCCTGGGGTCTCAGGGTCGGGTTTCTTGTGGAATATTCCTTGTGGTCGAGCTCCTACTATACCAGACAGAACAGGACAGGACAGGGAAAGGCCGCATGATTCGGCAGCTCGTAGTGTACATTCGCGGTGGCGTGCAAGAGCATGCACATGAACAGCTGCGCGGTGCCTCGGAGAGGTCGTGTATCCCTGGTGCCAGCGACGCGCGAGGGAAACCTGCGCGGCTGCCGGGAGGAGGCGGAGGGAGGGAGGGAGGTGGGAGGGACCCCAGGGCCCGTGGTCCTGTGGGCCCGTTTGTGGGGAAACAAACAGTGACACAAACATAAAAATCTCGGAGGTCCGCGCGGATTTCTTGGATCGGCGCTGGACCCCCCTCCCTGCGCGCGGAGCGCGCCAGGGGCGGCGCCGGAGGCGCCGCCGGGGGGCCCCAGCGCCGATCCGAGAAATCCGCGCGGACCTCCGAGATTTTATGTTTATGCCACTTTTTGTTCCCCTGGTGGTCCTGTGGGCCCGTCTTTCCTCCTGCACTGCTCTCTGATGGCCGCCGCAGGGATTCCCCGTCTGGGCCGCCCGAGCACGGGCGGGGGCGGCCGCCATGGCGGTGGCCGAGGACGCCTGGGGCGTGTCCACCCTCGCGGAGGGGCGCGGGGGCCTGCAGGGGCTGGGGGGGTCGAGCATCCCTCAAGCAGTGGCGAAGCGTCCTGGCTCGCCTATAGCCCTACCAAGCAATGTTCTAAGAACCTTTTTTGGTTTCCGCGAAATCTTCTTAGAGCATTTCTGGCGGAGTGTGTTTTGCTTTATCACATCGGGTTAATGTTATAAGAACATTGTTTTGTTCTTAGAACACTTCTGGGTTCCAAGAACATGTCGTGGTAGGACTATAGGAATGCCGGGACGGTCGGTCCCTGCTCAAATCCCAGGGCAGGGCTGGACCCAAACGGTGCTTTGGCGATTGCGTGGGCCGTGTTTTCGTTTCGACTTTGCTTTTCGAGGCAGAGGTGGATCGAAGACAAAACACCAGGGAAAGCGAAAACATAACGAAAACGAAAAACACCGTGTAGATGCAGCCCTGTCCCAGGGGGGATCGGGACGATTGAAAATGGGTATGGAACCAACTGGAACAAAGACCAGCAGCAGTTTTTGTTCTTTCTGTGTTTCGTTGTCGGCGTCGCCGCGGGCGCTGTCTATTCGATGCAGAAGGCCGCCTGCCCATCAGCGGCCGCTGTTTGTTGTGGACACCAGTTGTTGTTGTGCTTCGCACCCATTATCTTCGTTCGGTATCGTTTAACCGATCCTTGTCCGCGTCCCCATCCTTTTCGAGACCTCCACCAGATTACCACCCCAGTTGGGGATACACCCCTCGAAGCCCGAAGGGAACGACCTATCTCCCCATCTAGGGGGGGGGGGGGGGGGGGGGAAATCGGCTACTGGGGCCCAGGCCACCCCGCTGGGGATGGGGGGCCCAGGCCACCCCGCTGGGGATGGGGATCGGTGATACGATTCTCATTCGTTTGTCCCATTACGAAGATGGTTTCGTGCGTCCACAGTTACAACCCTGGAACATATCCCTATATCCCATGGTGCTGCTCTTGTTTAGTCACCAAAACTCCTCATCACGGATCAATCTTAGGGATTTCCCTATGTTTTGAGGGCGAATCCCTAAGATTGTCATCGCTTTTTGGCGTGTCAATCTTAGGGATAGGGATACGTTCGAGGCTGGTAAAACAGGGCAGGATTCACGGGACGCTCGCGGGTGTGCGAAGATGCGCGCGCGTTGCGTCTCGGCCAGGGCCGGAGCAGCTGCCCATTCCCCAGGGTGGGCGGCGCGAGGGCCCGAGGGCGCGAGGATAGTCTTGAGTCGGGCATGTCCCTCGACAGGAGGAGTAGTCACAGATAGTAGAAGCCTAGTCTGGGGACGAGAAGCGACTGAGACTATTGTTGGGTATTTTTCCCCAAACAGCTTGCTGAACGGGGTGCTGTTGTGATAGAAGCTAACTCCGGCCGAGGGAAGTCGGAGCAGAGACATCCTCACAAAAATTTGATGGTCCGGGCCGTTTCGCTTGAGACATCCTCACAATTCTCGTTTCTGAGTTGGCCGGGATTGGCCCGTTTCGCCTGAGAAATCCTCGAAAAGTTGCGTTCCGGGACGCCGCGCGAGAGGTGGTCCGGGCCGTTTCGCTTGAGACATCCTCGAAACTCTGAGCCCCGAGGTGCCGAGCGAGAGGTGGTCCGGGCCGTTTCGCCTGAGACTTTCTCGAAACTCTAAGCTCTGAGATGCCTTGCGCGAGGTGGTCCGGCCCGTTTCGCCTGAGACATCCTCGAAATTCTAACCTCGGAGATGCCTCGCGAGAGGTGGTCCGGCCCGTTTTGCCTGAGACATCCTCCAGTTTCTGAGCTCTGAGATGCCTTGCGCGAGGCGTTCCGGCCCGTCCCGCCTGAGACATCCTCGCAACTCTGAGCTCTGAGATGCCGTGCGCAAGGTGGTCCGGCTTGTTTCGCACAAGACATTCTCACAACTCTGAGCTCCCAGATGCCGCGCAAGAGGTAGTCCAGCCTGGGGGCCCAGAAGACCACATGTTACATATCCTCCCTGGGACCCTGGGAGCTCGCCTGAGACATCCTCGAACTTCTGAGCTCTGAGATGCCCTGCGCGAGGTGGTCCGGCCCGTTTCGCACAAGACATTCTCGCAAGTCTGAGCTCTGAGATGCTGTGCGCAAAGCGGTCCGGCTTGTTTCGCACAAGACATTCTCGCAACTCTGAGCTCCCAGATGCCGCGCAAGAGGTGGTCCAGCCTGGGGGCCCAGAAGACCACATGTTACATATTCTCCTTGGGACCCTGGGAGCCCCAGGATGCCCCAGAGAGCTCCAGGAGGCCGCAGGACGCCCAGGACAGGCCCCAGGGGTCCCCAGGAGATTCCCAGGAGGCTCCCAGGAGGCCCCAGGAGGCCCCCTATCAGAACGTGTCAAGTTAATACAAATCCGGTGTCGATTCGTTGAATTTATTGCTCTTGTGGCCCTCCTGCATTTTGAGGGGCCCAAACGGCCACAGGTTAGATATCCACCCTGGGAGCCCCAAGAGGCTTCAGGAAACCCCAGGTGGAGTTCAGGAGGCCTCAGGAGGCCCAGGAGGAAGCCCCAGGAGGTCCCAAGGAGGCTCCAGGAGGCACCAGGAGGCCCCCGCAACTCGGAGCTCTGAGACGCCGCGCTCGAGGTGGTCCGGCCCGTTTCGCACAAGACATTCTCGCAACTCTGAGCTCTGAGATGCCGTGCGCAAGTTGGTCCGGCCCGTTTCACACAAGACATTCTCGCAACTCTGAGCTCCCAGATGCCGCGCAAGAGGTGGTCCAGCCTGGGGGCCCAGAAGACAACATGTTACATATCCCCCCTGGGACCCTGGGAGCCTCAGGAGGCCCCAGAGAGCTTCAGGAAGCCGCAGGACGCCCAGGACAGGCCCCAGGGGTCCCCAGGAGATTCCCAGGAGGTTCCCAGGAGGCCCCCAGAGGCCCCCTATCAGAACGTGTCAAGTTAATACAAATCCAGTGTCGATTCGTTGATTTTTCCTGCTCTTGTGGCCCCCCCCCATTTGGGGGGGGCCCGACGGCCACATGTTAGATATCCCCCTGGGAGCCCCAAGAGGCTTCAGGAAGCCCCAGGTAGGGTCCAGGAGGCCACAGCAGGCCCAGGAGGAAGCCCCAGGAGGTCACCAGGAGGCCCCAGGAGGCCCCAGGAGGCCCACGCAACTCGGAGCTCTGAGACGCCGCGCTCGAGGTGGTCCGGCCCGTTTCGCCTGAGACTTCCTCGCAGCACGTTTCGCCCGAGACATCGTCGCAACTCTGGGGTCCGAGATGCCGCGCGCGAGGTGGTTCAGCCCGTTACGCTGGAGACATCCTCGCAACTCTGGGCTCCGAGATGCCGTTCGGGATGAAGAGGAGGTGGAGGAGGAGGAGGAGGAGAAGAAGGAGGAGGAGGCATGTTTTAACATGCCATGCCAGCCCGCACTGGACGGGCACGCAATCGACCTTGGAAACCGCAGTGGGTCTAAAAACCCTGTTTGGGGATACTGCACTCCGCCTATAATTGTTGAATCTGTTTTGATTGTCGTCCAGAATCCGCCTGTAGGAGGACGTGCCCGACCTAAAGATAGTCGTGCGGGGCGCGGTGCGCGATGCTGGGTGACCCAGAGGATCGAGGATCGAGGAGGACAGCGGCGAGGTCGCCCGGTCGGACTCGGCATGGCAGCAGTCTTCGCGCCGTCTCGCTGGAGCCACCAGGGGGGACTCCCCCTCCTCTCCTCCTCCTCCTCCCTCCTCCTCCTCCTCCTCCTCCTCCTCCTCCTCCGCCTCCTCCTGTTCCTCCTGTCCTGCTCCTCCTCTCCTCCTCCTCCTCCATCCTCCTCCTCCTCCTCCTCCTCCTCTCCTCCTCCCCCTCCCCCTGCTCGTCCTCCTCCCCCCCTTCCCCCTCCCCCTCCTCCTCCTCGTCCTGTCGTCTTCGTCCCCGCGCCGTCTTGCTGGAGGCTCTTGCCCCGAGAGCCCCGACCGCCAAAACACATCTCCGGCGAAGGGAGGCCCAGCCCGGAGCCCCGGGCGGCCTGCGTCGAGGAGGGGGCAGTTGGCGCCTCCTAGGGCCCACCTCGATGCGATCGGCCCGGTGCCCAGGCCCCCGACGCCATGATCTTTTCATGAAGTCGACCTTCTCCTCCTCGTCCTCCTCCCCCTCCTCCTCCTCTCCCTCCTCCTCCTCCTCCTCCTCCTCCTCCTCCTCCTCCTCCTCCTCCTCCTCCTCCTCCCCTCCTCGTCCTCGTCCTCGTCCTGACCCCCGACGTCAGGATTTTTTCATGACGTCGACCCCCAGTCGGGAGGGAAGAAAGGCCGGGTCTCACCCAAGGCCGGGCTGGGGCGCAAATCCCAGGGACAAGAAATGGGTCTTTGAGTGTGTACGTCACGCGCTGCAATCTGGCACGGGCCCAGTGAATCGCCCCCCCCATAGCTTGGCGCATAGAGCAGCAGCGGTGTAGCGCGCGTCACAAGAGCAATCTGACGAGGTCATCTGTGCTCTTCGGGCGACTGCGTGGGTTCTGCGGGATTCCTTGACGGGGAGCTTGGCTTCGATAGTTTTTCCTGCGCCACCGAGGGTGGGCGACTGTTGTTGCGGGCGATCGGGGGCAGCGCCCCGGGGCCCCCGCAGGGCCTCGGCGGGGTCTCCCTGGGGGTTCCGCGGGGCGCGGCGCCCTACAACAACGGCGTTGTCGTAGGGCCCCTGCATGTAGAAAAACGTAATGGAAGCCACGCCCACCGACTCATCGAGATCTCAGCTTCTACCGACAACGCGTTTCGACCGTCGAGAACGAAATTCTGCCGTCGGGGGGGGATCCGGCGCGCGTTACCGTGGGGCCGGTCTCCAGGCCCCGACGGACCCGCGGGGATCGGTGCGCAATGTGTCCCAGATGGCTCCAAGAGCCCCTCCACGGCCTTCTCCAAGAGAGCCCCGCGAGGGCCCCAATGGGGGAAGAAGGTCCTTCCAGGGAGCCCCAAACAGGGACCCACTACCCCTTCACGAGCCCCAAGAGCGCCCCCAGAAACCCATGGATGACCCCGGACGTACGCGACGCGAGTGTTCGGGTGGATATGGACTTGCACATTGGTGACGATTGTTCGTGCTCTTCCCCAGGCCCCCTCGAGTCATGAACAAAATCACGACGCGAGGTTTTCACTATTTTCGGCATCTGCGGGACCGTCATCAAAAACGACTCAGGATGAAGAACCGGTCTCGGGGAATGGGTCGAAACTTTTGGGGGTCGACGCCGTGATGAAATCATGACGTCGGGGGTCTGGGTTGTTTTAATTTTGATTATGTGTTGACTACGTCTTCTTCCAAAATTCGCGGAGGCCATAGAGACACCCCTGCCTCGCGCCAGCGGCGGCGGGCATCCCTGCCCCCCCTCCTCCCCGAGCCTTCGCCTCTATTGGTGCCCGCGTCGCGCCGGACCCCAGGCGCCGCCGCGAGAGTGATGAGAGGCGACGATAGCCAGACGTTCAAATGCATTCCGCGGAAGTGAAGTTCGAGTTCTTCGTGTGTTCGGGGGTGGACATAACCCCAACAGTGACACGTCGATTAGTGAATTGTCCGTTTTCGGTTCTCGAGAGGGCGCCGTGGTCGTTGTTTCCCAGGTTTGCGCCCGCCAGGTTTGGGCCTCAGGTCGTTTTCACTAAACCACGTTTTACTAAAGGGGGGTCTGTCCATCCCCGAGATAGCCAGACCTTCAATGCATTCCGCAGGAGTGAAGCTCGAGTTCTTCGCGTGTTGGGTCTCCTGTGGGCCCGTCAAGGTTTCGCAGGATGCAGGGCCGGGGCTTCGGGGGCCGCGCTCGGACACAGAGAACATCGGGGGTGGACAGACCTCCTACCCTGACACGTCGATTAGGGAATTGGCCGTTTTCGGTTCGCGAGGGGGCTTCGCGCCCGTCACTTTTGCGGGTCCGGGTCCGTCGGTTTCTGTCCCAGGCCGTTTTCACGAAGGGGAGGTCTACGGAAGGGAGGATTGTCCACCGCCGAGGAAAAGGCGTGGGAGAAAGGGCGAGCACCCAGCGAACCTCGCCGAGGTCTTGGGCGGGGCGGGCGCCCAAAAAGGCGCGCCCCATGTTTTGTTTCCCCTCGCATAACATCACTGCCAGCTGAAGGGAATAATAATTCCTCTGGTCTGTCCTCGTCGCCAGAGGAGAAGCTGAAAGCGTGTGAGACATGACAAAAGATACATCTTCTGACTTGAATGTTTTACTGCGCGTCGTCCCGTACCTGACTTTCCCAGGCGGGATGTGCAAGAAACTCGGCGGTGCTTGAGCGAAGAATCTGCGGAGAGTGTGCGACGAATGTTCGAGGCGCCCCCCCAAAGGGACAGCCCCCAAGAGGACGCCCCGGAGGAGGCGCACCCCCGAATCGCGCGGTCCAGGCCGGTGCTGTTCCCCAGAAGAGTGCTGTTCGTGGAGGGGGGCCCTCCGGCTGACCTGCGCTCCCCCAGGCGGCGGCGCCCTCCCTTCCCTTCGGGTGTTGCTGGAAGTACCCCTGGCCCAAGGCGCCCCCAGGATTCTCGGGGTGGCCCAGGCGGCCTCCAGCGGACCCTTCACGCGGCCCAGAGGGCCCCAGAGGCTCCAAGATGGAGCGAAAAGCCAGGGGTACCTTGGGCCAGGGGCACCTCTAGCAACATCCGATCCTTCTCCCCCGCATGTCTCAGAGGAGGAGAAGGGACCCATGCCGCTACCCTTCCCTCGTTTTGCCCGTGGTTGGGGGCTTCCTGGGCCTCTGTCGCCGCCACCGATGGTTTCGCCCCGAAGTCTCGGTCAGAGCGCATCCTGGGAGAAGCCCAGGGAGTAGCGATATGCGATGCCTTTTGGTTTCCCCAGTCCTTGTCCCCCACATGTCTTCCCCCCTCGCCCGCCCGTCTTCCGTACAGTCAACCCGTATAGTAAGGATGCGCGGCAAGGATGCAAGCGCCGTGGGAACACACGTTGCTGTTGTCCGAGAGAGGTTGGCCAGCGAAAGTCGCTATGGACGGGCCGAAGGGGCAAGGATGTGAGGGTAGCCTTGGGAAGTTAGCTCATCCTTACTATGCGGGTTGACTGTACAGGGCCGTTTTCAATACATGCTCCGCGTGCGGATCATGTATCAGACATGCAGGGATTTAGTACTAAAAACAACGATGAATTCATGCATAGATCTATTCGTAGAATGATCATGTATCAAAAATCCCGTATGTTTAAACTCAGGAGGAGAAAAAAACACACAGACACAATTAATCGGTGATCCCCAGGAAAATATGGGAAAATATGGGAAGTGAGGGGGAAGACGAAAACCCAGAAAAAATATTGGAAACTATGGGGGATATTTTTGTTTGTGTGTATTCATTTGTGTGTTCCAGTTCCCCTTCATAAACATCATATGCCTTAAACATTGCCTTGTACCATCCCTTGCCTCTGCGTTCCCTGCCCCCCGGCGCGGTCTCCGTCTCGCCCCGCGGGCGTGCCCTCCCTCGGCCCGCCCGCCCTCCCCCCCCGGTCTGCCCTTCCCGCCCCCCCCCCCTTTCCCACTCTGTCCTGCCCTCCTCCCCCCCCTCCCTCCCCTCTGTCCTGCCCCCCTCTCTCCCTCCCCCCCGTCGTGCCCTTCCCTCCCCCCCCCTTCCCACTCCGTCCTGCCCTCCCCCCCCCTTCCCACTCTGTCCTGCCCTCCCCCCTTCCCCCTTCCTCGAAGATTAGAAGACGCCACAAGCACACAAACGTCTGGCGCTCCGCGCGGAT